ACGTTTTCCTTCACCCACGGCATGAGGACCGATCAGAACCCATTTTCCGGAGAACTGGTAGCGGCAGCATACGCGTTGCGATTTCTGCCGCAGCTGAGGGGGCAGACCGTGACGCTACTGACAAGCAACAAAGCCGCGGTGCTGACACTTCGAAACCCCCAACAACAGTCTGGACAAGAGTACGTTCGCTGCATCTACGAGGCGATCACCCGACTGCGAGAAACCGGGAACACCATCTCAGTCGTGTGGCTTCCGAGCCATCTCGACGACGACCTCCTGAAGAAAGCGAAAGGAGAAGCACGCAAGGCCAGCCGAGATGGCGCCTTGCCTGAAAAACAGTTCCCAAAGATGCGATCCACCACCCTCAACGCTGCAAGGCGCAAACTACGTGTGGAAAGACGACTACCAGATAATGTTGGAAAACTCTCGAAGGAAGTCGACATAGCACTACCCGGCAAGCACACTCGAGAACTATATGATAACCTTTCCTGGATGGAGGCGAGCATGCTGGCCCAGCTCAGGACAGGCATGGCGAGACTGAACGCCTCACTTTTCCGAATCAGGGCAGTAGCTTCAGCCCAATGCGCATGCGGACAAGCGAGAGAGACGGTGGAGCACTTTCTCCTCCGATGCACACGATGGGCAACACAACGAGCCGAGACACTCATGCGCCCTGGCACACAAAGAGACAACATCTCCTTCCATTTGGGAGGTAAGACGACATCAGATGGTGATGATTGGAAGCCGGACATGAAAGCAGTCCGAGCTACGATACGCTTTGCGAAGGCCACGGGCCGACTGGAGAACGTGTGATCCCTTGCGGGGGCCTAACACACCAAAACCCCCCTTCTTCTACTAACCGAACCTAACACCCACACCTCGTGTCAACAACAGTAAGCGCCGCTTCAGTCGCCGTAGATAGGACTCTGAACACTTGAAGAATAGCCTTCAAGCAGCTTGCCAATACAATCTAAACCCCACGAGAAACCGGCGGCAAGACAGAAGACGAGAAAGCAAGAGCGGAAAGATGACCTATTATGGGCTTGGGAGATTCGGACAGACTAGAGGAAGCGACCGTGTACAATAGCAAATAGTGCCTTATTGGCTCTAGGCCACCAGGCGTAATAAACTTGTGTGTGTGTGTGTGTGTACTGTACCATACCTCAACGAACGACTGCTTGCTGTGAATATTTTCAATCATCATACCATCGTGACGACTCGGCCATCCTGCCCCTGCAGCAGCCCCCATGTTTCAGGTCCCAAATAAGGACCTCGATCGTCGTCAAGGTTCTCTCCTCTCTTCGATCAGGGCCATGGCGCGGGCCTAACACGTCGAAGACAAGTTCGCGGTGCATACTTAAGTGCGGCCGTAGGTGTCATGGAAGGGCCCGGTCCTGTCCCACATTGAGAAGACACAAAATGGCCCCAAAAGAGACTGTCCGACACAGGAAAGCCGTCAGAAGGAACATCGGCTCCTTGCTGACGAAATGCGAGGACTACAGCAACCTCGGCAACATCGAAGTCGCGCTCTATGTCTTTTTTCCCGATGACGGTGGTTTTGTATCATACGAGTCGACTGACCTGCATTGGCGTCAGGACATCGAAGCCAAGGTAGGCTGGCAGACACGGCGGCCCTTCATTTGCTGCTGTTCACGATCCAACTGACCCAAATGCCGACCATCAATAGAAAAGCAGCACGCAGCCAACGCTTCACTTACCGGAGAACCTCAAGAAATGCATCGGTCAGAAAGTGACGGGCTTCTATTTCAAGCAGAAGCGAGGCCGTCTTCCTGGGGTGAACAAGACAGGCATGGCGAGCAAGTCGGACATGACGGGGAAGGCGGACATGACGAGCAAGACGGGCACGGCCATGGGGCATCAAACTGGGGTCCAAACGAGGTGGACCAGGTCTCTGGCCCGTGCTGGTCCAGCAAACAGGAGGCAGACGGGCCGACGTGTGGGCTGTGCTTTCCCCGCCATGCCAGATCTACGGATTGGAAGCTTACAGCCGCGGGGGACCATTGTTTGCGCGAGCTGATGGCACGATCAGGGGCGTGTTGTTGGTGTTCCTCATGCTGCTGATGTTAGAATGTGTTCCGAGAGGCAATGCAACGGAAGATTTCCAATCATTGTTGGTGGCTCCACTACCTATTTTGTTCGCCAAGTGCATTGGTCTGACAGTTTGATTTGGTTCGCAAGCATGTTCGGTCCAACAAGACCATCACCGGAACAAAATCAGGTGGTTTCTATTTTCCCGGACGCAGCATCCGCCTCGGCAACAGGGCTCACAAGTCAAGCCAAATCCTACCAACCTCTTTCGTCTGTGCCAAGAGGCACCCATCCTAGACCTGCGCCCATCGCGGTTGGAAAGCCTCTCGTGACTGTCTGGTTCTGCTGGTTGCGCGGCGGCCCCCTGCCTCTCGTTACATTCTGCACAATGAATGACCGGCTACAACGGAACTGCTCACTTCCCAGCCACACTTAGGGCGTCCCGAGGAGACGGAACACAATCGGGGGAGCTGTTGAAGCGCCTGTTCGACCACCGTTGACCCGCCAGACCCACCAAACATCATTATCTCCACGACTCATGCGAGACAGCCCCGGCAACCGTCCTTCCAGCCTGACGAACAGCCAACCAACAGGTGGAACGTGCATCGGACTGATCATCCCTCATGGACCTCGTCGCGGCATCCCCGTGTCTCATGCCAGGTACAATCCAGGGCGACGCGCACTATCGGGGCAAAAGTCCAGACAGGTCAAGCGGACCTCGGCGTCCCCCCTGCGCTGTACGACGTCGCGGACTCGATCGACAATTTGGGGGTCTGCACACACTGCCGACGAGCACTCATTAGCAATCAGACGACATAAGGTGATCGGGTGACGACAATCACCCACGAGATATGACAGTACGACCCCCATGTTGGCTAAGCTCAGCATCCGTTAGGTACGCTGCATCCATGTCCTTGTACGTCACGACGATGCGCTTGCCTCGGTTGACAAAGTCGGTTACGCTAGCCTCTCGCGATACGAAGCCGCCGACCACAAATAGATAGATGTGTAGGACCTAGGGGACGTCAGCTCGTCGTCGTCGCCAGATCCGTCGCCCGATAGGTCATCGACAGGGTGGTCAGTGCCAGGTTGGTCGTCGCCGCCGGAGCAAGAGGCCCCCACACTCACTTGGCTTTTTTCGTCGAGCTCCAGCAGCTGCTGCATTCTGTCGGCCACCCACCCGAGCTGAACTGCGACGACATGTCAGTGGAGAGAAGACGGCAAGTGGCACACGGCACACGGCAGTTGGTATGACGCGGCGTGCGCGCGATGAAGAGGAAGGGCTGGACGCACTCTCAGCATCCACTTGCCAGAACAACGTCACCCTCTTCGTCTTGACGCCGCAGTCGTAGTAGCTCCTGAGAAGCTGCGCGACGTGTGAAAGCTGACCGGCGATTCCAATGCTGGTCGCGAAGAGGACAACATTGTCATACGCGTCGAGGTTCATCTCTTGACCGTAGGGTCCATCTATGAACGCTCTGGAGCGGTAGTTGTTGGTGAGCTTGTTGTCCTTCATGTGAAAGATTTTCTGTGTGAAGCCCTGCCGCTTCTGTGCAATGAGAACAATGTAATCGTCGTCGTTGACGCGATACCACCATGCAATGTAGAATGGATGAGACTGGACCACGGCCGTGTGACTGACCGCCGGCACAGTCAGGTAGACGTACTGCCCGGCGCGAATATTCCATGGCCTTGGCAGTCGGACGTGGATGTGCACAGCATCTTCGAGCGGTATACTTGTTTCTCCCAGCTCGAACGTGATGGTGCGCACAGCAACCCGACACGACGGCGCGCCGAGCTGCACATTGCGGTACACCATCATGGTGAGCCGTACAAGCCACACGAGACCCAGACAACCGCCGGCTGCCACGACATATCTCTTGGGCGCGTCCAGCACGTCCGACGTAGGGTTGTGGAGATAGACGAAGACACCAGCGCACACGGCGAGGCCAAAGTGGAGGGCGGCAAACATTTCATATGTGCGTCGTCGAAGAATGCTAGTCAAAGGGATGACGACCATGATGCTCGCAACCTAGACATGCCTCAGCCTCACTCTTCGGTCCCCCCCCCGTCTAGGTGCTTGCCCATGCCTACTCACCACAATACCCGAAGTGTCGCTGAACTTCCCCACGTCAGTGGATGACTCAGTCGACAGCGCCACGGCGGTGTGGGTGAGACCTTGGACGATGGCCATGATGCCGAGCCAGCGATGCAGAGCAACAAGAGCCCGTAAACTCAGCCCACAGCCACTCGCAATCACATTCATCTGAGTTCCCAGAAAGAGCGGTGCCATGTTGACCACGGACAAAACGCCTGACCGCCGGACGAAGCCTGAGACGTCGTGAACACCGACGGCCAGTGGTACGGCATTGGCGGCAATGAAGAGAACAGCGAGCATGAGACGAAGCCAGGTAATCCGCCTGAGAAGGCGTGTTGATCGAGAGATAGTTTTCCACGAGAGATAATGCAGGAGGTTTCCATGGGTCAGGTATCGTAAAACGTTGAACGTGAGCAAGGCTAGGTTCACTACAATGGACGTGGAAAGAGGTCCCCCAATTGCTAGGGCGTACCAAGTAACGGGGTCCATAGCTTGCTGAGAGCGTCTTCGCAACTGCGTATGAGTATGCACTATACGATACACGCACAGCATCTTGCAGTCGTAGTCCCACCCAGAACGGCTTTATGCTAGCAGCATGGCAGGGACCTATTTCTGTCCTTGTTGCGCTGTTGCGTGAATTCGTCAGTTGCCCCGGCCAGTTGCTATTGACCGCATGCTGGACGGGCAGGGCCGAGAATCAGGCTCATATCCTCAACGTACTCACCACTCCCATACGTCAGCAAATTGGAATATAAACGGGTGCAGAATATGATTAAGACAAACAAACGTAGATGCGTAGACCAGACCACCACACACTCGACCAGACCGCCGGTACTTTTCTTCATCCTTCACCATGACGCATGACCAGTCCGCCCAGACAGAGGCAGGCCACTCCGCCGCAATGGCACTGCAAAGCCAAGCGATCAAGGACAGCCGCTTCGCAAACGTAGTGAGTAGTCTCGTCCGCAGGCTTCCAGTCTTTCTACTGACATCCTAGTCCTTCACCGGTAACGGCGGGTCGAGCAGTGATGACCTGGCCGGACGGCTAGACTACGACCTCTGGTCCTTGATTCAGCAGTTTGATAAGGCGCGCAGGACGCTGGACACATATCGCGACGCTGCGCAGAAGGAGAACCTAGAGCGGTCCTACATTCTACAGCAGCAGCACAACAACCTGAACGCTCGCTGGTCGAGCAGCTATGGCGAGCTACAGAAAGAGGCCCAGAAGAGGGCCCGAGACCTCCAGAAGGTTGTGAAAGAGCTCGAAAATGCAAGAGCCGAACTCGAAGAAAAGAAGAAGGAAAGCCAGTTGAATGACATGGCCGTGCGTGAGCTCCAAGAGACCGTTGAAATGCAGAACAGCGAAATTGTTCGAGCACGCGAGATTCACGCCCAGCTCGACAGCGTGGAAAAAGAGTTGGCCGAATGCAAGTCAGTCAACCAAGCTGTCGAGGCAGTGTTGGAGATGAAGAAGAGACACATCGCGGAACTCGAGTCCGCCTTGGGGGAGATGACCGCAAAGAATGACCGGCTGGCGGCTGATCATATCGAGCACGAATCACTCAAGTTGCAATTTCGCTCTCTCGAAGCCGAGCACGCCGAAGCTCTGGACATCGCCAGCGGTCTATTCGACGGAGAAATCGGTACCACACCGGCCGAGCTCATTGGCCAGAACAGGGCTTTGGGGCAGCAACTTCGGGAGCTCCAAGCCGAAAACAAGGCCCTCGCAGAGCGCCTGGCACAAGGGATGGGAGCGCAAGCAGACCGCGATGGTTCGTCTCGGGGCCAGTGTCATCACAACCACTGCAATCACTGGAGTGACGAGGGGAAGGAACAAGTCCCTGATGCAAAGGCGGGGGGTGCCGTGGAAGGCAAAGTCGACGAAGGCAAGGCGAAGAAGAGGAAGCGGACCAAATGATGGTCTGCGCCATGAAGCAGTGGGCGCCCAGCCATGAATAGGGACTATTATAAATTCATTCATGCTTTGGCTACGCATACATACAGCAACGTAGTGTACAGTGCAGTCTTTATCAAAATAGCTGCTTGTCGTTTGCCATGTAGCACAGGTCTGGCCAGCCATGCATGAGTACATACCACCTTATGTATCTGATTGACTGATATATATGCTGACCTGTTGTTCCTTTACATCCCTTTACACCCCTTCACTTCTATTCACGTTCCTTCACAGTCGTCAGCTGATACAGAGCCTACCTTTCTCATGCTTTCCCATTTACTTATACTCCTTGCGTCGTCGCCAAGCACTTTCTCTTCGCGCTCAGGTCAACATTCATCACGCTATGAAGGCAGAGACCTGTTGTGTGAAGTCACCAGTGACTCCGCCGATGGATTGGGCTTCCGAGGAAAACGCGGCCTGGCCTATAACGATGCCAGGCAAGTTGATTACTTCTTCGCGAGCGGCACTATGTGTGAGTCATGTAGCTGGGCGTACAGCTGGGACTCGCGAGACAACGGCCTCATCGGAAGGGGCCTCGACTTTGTCCCGATGCTGTGGAGCCCAGCAGACGATCATACTCAGCGGTGGAAGCTGAACGTTGAGGATATGATTAGAAAAGGGTCCACGCATGTCCTGAGCTTCAACGAATGCGACATTGCTTCACAATGCAACAGGAGTGCCATGGAAGCTGCAGACGCGCACGTGAAGCACATGAATCCACTTTCAACTCGGGTCAGGATCGGTGCACCTGCAGTGTCGAACAGCAACCTGGCAGGCGAAGGATTAGAATGGCTCCAAGCCTGGGTAGACGTCTGCAAGGAGAAGGGCTGCGCGTATGGCTTTTGCCCAATCCACTGGTACTCCTTTCCAGAGAGCACTGCAGATCTGTTCCACCATATACAGCGGGCTTCTGCCATCTGTGGTGGCAAACCTATCTGGCTGACTGAATTTTCTACGTTGCCACTGAGCCAAGGCGGTAGAGAAGTCGCCGAGTGGCTTAGGGGACAGCTGCCCAAGCTAGATCTTCTCGCTTCTCTCGAAAGATATGCTTTTTTTATGGTTGACGGGAAGCTGGTGGCAAATGGGCTTCCCACTCCAGCAGGTGCAGTGTACGCAGCGTGAGTGGGATGTCTGTGTTGGGGATATGAACCCGCCGATTGTTCGCAACGCCTTTAAGAGCTTTCAAACAATGGTCCGTAGTTCTGGCTACTGCAAATACACTTTCTATTGGAGCACACATCTCTACTCCTACGCGTCTTTGTCGGAGCCGTCATCGCATCCGGACCACAGAGCCTCTTCAGGCTACATCGGGAGGGGACAGGCGGCAAAGTTCAGGGGTTCAGGCTTTTATTTCAAGTCTATATTTTCTTGATATGGACTCTCAAATGCTAAGGCACAGTCGTAGCGATCGCAGTAGCCCTCTCCCTGCCCTCACTGCCGTGCTACTTGTCTGTCAAAGGCCGTGATGATCCCATTCAGGAGCTTCGTATAGATGACCGCGAGGGAAATCAAAATACCGCACATAGCTGAGACAATGCTGATGGACACTTTGGCCGTGATAGAAAACTCTCCACCGCTGCTGGTGGCGATGCTGATCACCACGGAGAAGAGTGCGATCAGTGAATGGGAGACCCCAGGTCTTGCCACCTGTCAACCGCAAGCCACTCAACATCACCTCAGCCAGCTTACTCACATGAAGACGTGTGCAATCAGCCAGACGTAGTTCTTCCTCCACTTCCACCAAAGCCAGCATGACCCTGAGAGGCCGAGCCCGCATAGAACGCCAGCGAGAGGCAAAAGCTGCACGTTGCGGACAGCCTCCTGGAGGGCCTGCCCTCCGTAATGTCGACCGAGGCTTTCGGACTTTTCGATGGAAGTGAAGGTGTTAGGAAGGACAATGAAACCGGCCAGAGTGATCCAAGCGCAGATGGCCGCGAGAACGTTGTAGCGCGTCGGAATCTGGTTGGATCTGATGGACATGGCCATGTAGCGAGTATGTCGATTGGGCATAGGTATGGCATTCATCGTCAGGCATATCATAGCACGCGTACGTAACGCCCGGCGACCTGCACACTATATTCCCGCGTAGGGTGGCTCTCGGCCTGTGGGTTGGCTTGGTTGTAGTTGTACCTGAGCATGCCCAGCGCATCAGCGTGCTCTAGATTTGAGTCCTTCGTTTTGGACTTGTATCAGCAGCTTTGGCCCCGATCACGTCCCTGAATTGCCATTACACACTTAAGTAGGACCCTATCATGGCCTGGCTTCTCCCTCGGGTGCTCTACTTGCGTACTGCACAGTATAGTACCGTCCCCATCGATCGATCTCTGTGCATTGAAATCTTGGCGAGTACCACCGGACGGGACAGCATGCGCTTGATTAGTGCATTGTGTGTGGTGCTGGGCGCGGTCTCCCCGGCCCACGGGAATGCTGTAAGAGCGCTGTCTCGGAGATCGCAAGCCGATGCTGTTTGTGTCCGCCGGACGAGTCCCACTCCTACACCAACAGACCTCGATAAACCTCTACAAACGACTCGTACAGAGGGCGACATGACCTATTATGACCTTGGCCTGGGATCCTGCGGGCTGGACGATAGCGGCAAAGATGACACGGATAGCATCGTCGCTCTGTCGCATCTCAAAATGGGGGAGCAGTCAAATGACAACCCGTTCTGTGGCAGAACTGTTTCGATACGCATGGGAAATAAGATGACGGAGGCAACAGTGCGGGACAAGTGTATGGGGTGCGCCACGGACGATATTGATGTCTCTAAGGCTGTATTTAACAGCCTAGCTGGCTCACTTGATGCGGGGCGCGTACGAGTCGAGTGGTGGTTCACCTAATTATGGCGGGCAGTACATCCGGGGTGCAAGACGTAGTATACATGATGAAAAGAAGGTTGAAATAGTCAGACAATTGCGGAGCATGGATTTCCTTGCACCTACGTCCTCGCCCATACAGTACAGTCATGTACAGAACTCCCTTCCTCCCTACACTTACGATCTTTTCTTGCGGGCATGACCCTTTTCGTTATAACAGGTCCAGATGGCGCCGAATGAAGTGTTGAAGTGGGGCAATGACTCCTTTTGTCTCGTTGTCTACTTGGAGGAACCAAAAGGGACCCTTTTCGGTCAGAAAAGGCCATACTTATGGTCAAAAAGACCAATTTTAAACCACATAAAAGTTGCCTTTGGTACCAGTAGGTGCCCCCTCAGTTACAAGAGAAGGTTGTAGAGTTTGGAGAGGAAGGCAGTTATGCAAGGCGCAAACTACGTGTGGAAAGACGACTACCAGATAATGTTGGAAAACTCTCGAAGGAAGTCGACATAGCACTACCCGGCAAGCACACTCGAGAACTATATGATAACCTTTCCTGGATGGAGGCGAGCATGCTGGCCCAGCTCAGGACAGGCATGGCGAGACTGAACGCCTCACTTTTCCGAATCAGGGCAGTAGCTTCAGCCCAATGCGCATGCGGACAAGCGAGAGAGACGGTGGAGCACTTTCTCCTCCGATGCACACGATGGGCAACACAACGAGCCGAGACACTCATGCGCCCTGGCACACAAAGAGACAACATCTCCTTCCATTTGGGAGGTAAGACGACATCAGATGGTGATGATTGGAAGCCGGACATGAAAGCAGTCCGAGCTACGATACGCTTTGCGAAGGCCACGGGCCGACTGGAGAACGTGTGATCCCTTGCGGGGGCCTAACACACCAAAACCCCCCTTCTTCTACTAACCGAACCTAACACCCACACCTCGTGTCAACAACAGTAAGCGCCGCTTCAGTCGCCGTAGATAGGACTCTGAACACTTGAAGAATAGCCTTCAAGCAGCTTGCCAATACAATCTAAACCCCACGAGAAACCGGCGGCAAGACAGAAGACGAGAAAGCAAGAGCGGAAAGATGACCTATTATGGGCTTGGGAGATTCGGACAGACTAGAGGAAGCGACCGTGTACAATAGCAAATAGTGCCTTATTGGCTCTAGGCCACCAGGCGTAATAAACTTGTGTGTGTGTACTGTATGTAACAACTATCCGTAAAAATCTATTCTTATCAACGGCCAATGCCCCTCATCCCAATTTTAGACAGATGAGACCCTACACATCCGCTTCTGGACGGGGCAGGACCGGCATGAGCGCAGCAAAGAGGTCATCTTCGGATATACAAAGGTTCCAGTCGAGCAGCAATAATACCTGTCTTTCCATCAGATTGATGTCGTCGCAGCTCAACCTGAACGCATAGTTCCGGGTCACGATATGGCTAAGATAGGCCCAAGTCTTGTTTGTGTATAGCGTGTCATCGTGGTACTTCACACTCAAAATCAAGACGATCAGGAAAATTCTGTGGCAAGTATAGGGCGATCCTTGACATGATTGCAAGCGCTGTTTGAGCCTCGACAGGTAAATAATCGTCGACAAGAGGATCGGGGTGGTGATTTTGGGTGTCGCGCTCAGATGAAGGATAAAACTGTCGAGCGGCGGTAGAGGTTGCATACCATTACTTCTGACGCAGCCATGGCGAGGTATGCGACCATTGATGCATCAATAGGCTAGTTGCAGAGATCCAAAAAGTGACATGGAGTTAACGAAGTCGATAGGTGTTTTAAAGTCGTTCTGCCTGGTAACCGAAGATAAGAATAGCCGCCTCGACATGCACCGGCTCGTTCACTTAATCACGCAGAAGTAGCCCCAAAAAGAAGGCAGGATCAGCCAGGTCAGGGACAAGCACTTCCGAAAATTTCGAGCCTATATCCATTCCGTGTTTACAAGAACCGCACCGCCTGTGCCGAATATCTACCACACACTGTGGCTGTACTAAAAGTGAAGGCAACATCGGCGACGAGACAATACCTAAGGCATCTCTTCTTCACTGCATTGCTAGTTATTTGGATTCCGAGGGCAAATGGAAGGATGCCGAGGTGCTTTTTATTTCAGGCAACACGAATGAGAGAAGAAGCCCTTGGCGACGAGCATCTCACCACGCTGGCCGTCTTAGGGGCATTCCTCAAAGCAATGATTTTGTTTTGAGTATAGGTCATCACGAATCACAGTCTTTATGTTGTCATGGTGGTGATAGATTGATTGTATCCGTGCTCAACTTGGATAAATGCATTATCGACGTTGATGGAAGCGGGTGATCATTGTGTTGGAAATCATTTACTGTTTGTTGAAGCACGGCACCAGATTGATTGTGGGTGAGTTGGTCTTGACGCGGAACGACGCGACGCGGATTGGTGAAATACCAGTCCACGTGGCGCCCCACCTGCAGCCTTGGAGATTGAGCGCGACACGATCCGTGTCGCGTCGGATGAAGAGGAGAGGGATGGTGTTGAGAGACGACAACTCCGCCCGAAGCGCAAGCCGAGCAACAAAGCCATCGACAACTAAGCCACCGAAGATAAATACATCGACAATCGAGCAACCGACGACGCGACCGACGCTGCGGAAATCACGAAGCGAAGTAAGGGGCGCGGTACCAAATCGACGGTGCGACGGCCAACCCCCGGGACCAGTGGAGAGCAGCTTGACGGAAGGATGTTACTACGCGCTATAGAAAAACAAATGGAAATACAGACGAAGATCATGAGAAAGGTCCTAGAAGGTTCACAGTCACACTCGAAAAATTGAGCAGGTCCAGAACGAAGTGGAGGAGCTTAGGAAAGCTCTCCATCTCCATGCGACCACGAACGAAGCCCAGAGCCTGCGTACGAGCATCAAAGCAATCACTACGACTATCGCTGGGCGGGACAGGTCGTAGCCATCCTACGCAGACATCGCCCGGATGCCACCGGCCGGCCAACTCAGTAACACGAGGCAGCTTACCACGACAACCCCAACGGGCACGCACATCAGCACAATTGATACGTCAAGGACCGGGATGAACAAGATGAACAACTCACGCCGGGCGCTGTTCGCACCCTTACGGAAGGTGAGGTTAGACTGGACCAAAGCCAAAATAACTGGCGATGACTAGCCGTGACCGAAGACCCGAAAACGCCTCGAATCAGGACTGCCTGCAGAACGAGCAGGAATACACCATAGTGACACGGCTAGTAGAGGCTAAGCTGCCTAGAGGAGCTCGGATGCTGCGAGACGAACTCTATCCTGTCACAAAGTAGACTACGTGAGCCGAAGGGCGGTCTTGGAAGAGGCGAACCACACTCGTAGTGGAGCAGCTGAGGAGATTGGCAAAGAAAATGGCGATCAAGCTGCGAAAGTTGGCTAGCTAAGCAACAGAGACGTTGCGTAGGCGTCTGCTTTATGGTTGTTTACCTTACGAGGAGAAGGGGCTCGGAGAGGCTTCTTGTAGAAGGTTACGCTTATGCAGGAGGACAATCTGGGTGGCCAAGGCCTTTGAAACTCGTCCTCGTCTCGACCAGTGCGACAATTGTCAACAGTTTAGTTTCGGCCACAAAGCTTGCCAGTACGACCGACCCCAGGCATGCGGGAAATGCGCCAAGGGGGGGCACCCCCACAGTGCTTACACTGAGACTGTCCTTAAGTGTGTTCCCTGCGGAGGTCCCAATGCATCATTCAGCAGAAACTGCGAGAAGCTCTGCCCATGTTTGAATGCGTAGTACGCTCCGAATGATCCAACTCAATGTGCGAAAATGCGGCGAGGTTCAGCAAATCTCATGACCGACGAAGAGATTCAGGACGCAGCGGCGCTCGCCATTCAGGAACCACAAGCACGCATGATCAAGGGACGGTTATTGACGACTCGGATGGGACATCACGGATAGACAAAGATAGTCCCATCAACGACTGGGGAAGGATGATGGGCGATCCGGAGCATGCTTTGGATAAGGAAGGTCTCGGAAGCGGGACAGGTGCCGATGAAGTCTCCGGACATGACAGCAGCACTGTTGTGGCTCCCGGAGAGACTGGTACCGGTGGTGTCCGTGTACGTGCAGGGAATGGACACCCATGCATTACAGCAAGCGTGCAACACCATACGTAGTGCGATCGCGGACGCCAGGAGAGCCGCAGGAGATGTGGTGGACGTGGTCATTGCAGGCGACTTCAATCGCCACGATCAACTATGGGGAGGAGACGACCTGTCGCCGGGGCGACAGGGTGAGGCCGACAACATCATTGACCTGACGAACGAGCTCTCCCTCTGCAGCATGCTCCCACAGGGCACGAAGACATGGCAAGGCGGAGACCACGAATCGACAATCGACCTCGTGCTAGTGTCAGAGGACCTAGCCTTGACGTATCGGTTCCGACCCCCAAAGCCTAAGACCGACCTCTATTCAAGAACGCGCCAGAAAAAGAAATTCAACGCCCGAATCTCCATGGCACTCAGCACAGTCCCGATGGAAGGCACGGTCCAGGAGCAGACCGACAGACTCATATCAGTGGTGCTAGAAGCAGTACAGGCCTTGACACCGAAAGCCAAACCATCGCCATACGCGAAGCGGTAGTGGACGGCAGATTTGACGCAGCTCCGCCACAACCACACATTTTGGAGTAACTGGGCGAGGGCAGCAAGGCGGGCAGGACGGTACGAAAAAGCAATGAAGAACACGGCCAAGGGGCTAGCGAAACAATACCATGATGCCACTCGACAACAGAATAAAACGTATTAGAATGACTTCCTGGCCGACAACGACAACATCTGGAAGGCCGCCAAGTATCTCAAGTCTGGCGACGATGCTGCATTTGGCAAGGTGCCACAACTTGTGAAAAGTGATGGCACGCGGAAGACCAACGGCAAAGAGCAAGCGGTTAACTACTTACCACTTTCTTCCCGTCACTACCAGAGCATAACGAAGAGGGAAGGGAGAGGCCGCAGCGCTAATAGGCTATCGACATGCCAGACATCACGATGGAAAGACGTCGTCGAACGCCGACTTTTCGCGACGAAATCTTGGAAAGCGCCCGGTAAGGACGAGTTACTAGCAATAGTCTAGCAACAGATTGAGTCGCCGTCAAGCACAGGGTCCTAGCGATTTTCCGCGCATCAGCAGAGGCAGGAGTCCTCCCTAATCAATAGAGGCATACTAAGATAATCCCGCTTAAGAAGCTGGGCAAAGGTCATTACACTATTACTGAGGCTTGCAGGCCCATTTCGCTCCTCGCTTCGCTCGGTAAAGTTTTTGAATCGGTTATTATGCAGAGGATCTCCCATACAGTCGAGACACACGGGCTATTGCCCACGAACCACTTTGGAGCCCGTAAACAGAGGTCAGCAGAACACGCGTTAGTATTACTGCAAGAACAAAAACACGCGGCATGGCGAAATCGTTAGGTTATGAGTCTCATATCGATTAGAGTTTAGGCCTCGGAGGATTCCATGATAGATAGAGTTTGAGGCTTCGCGTTGTAGGGCTTCGTGTCCAGAATAGAGTTAAAGACTCGGAGGCTTTTACGACAGATTAAATTCAGGACTCGGAGGATTCCGATGATGAAGATAAAGCCCGGGCCCGGTGGCCTGCGACTTCAGAAGGGGATCACATGAAAATCGTGTGCTGCCTTCCTGTTTGTCGGAATCTTAGTCAATAATCGTACTTTACATTAGCAAGGCGTTGTGAAGAACAGGGAATCCTATCACCGTCTTTCCCACACCTCGAAATTTCTTCAATTGCCAATAACTTACTATGTCCGCCAATATTTCACAGGGCTGTCGCACGGTTCTGATTACTGGGTGAATGCGCTGTTCTTTCTTAATCCCTTTTCGTATAGAACTAACAGCAGTAGCTGTACACCTGGTGGAATTGGCTATGCCTTGGTCAAAGAGTTCAATGCCTGCGGGCTTCAAGTCATTGCCACCGGGCGCCGACCCGAGGTTTTGAAGGCGCTTATTGGTCTTGGCGTCTCTGCCGTTGCTCTTGACGTGACTAATGCTGAGAGCATCGCGGCGTGCAAACGTCAAGTCACTGAACTGACTGGCGGTCGCCTGGATATTCTTGTTAATAATGCGTAGAGTTGCCCATCCATAACGCAAAGCACCTACTAATTGCAGCAGAGGTGTGAGCCACACGATCCCGGCGACGGATATCGATTTGGACGAGGTTCGCGCCACCTTCGAGACCAACGTGCTTAGTGTTATGGCTATGGTGCAGGCCTTCGTGCCCCTTCTCATCGCTAGGCGTGGCCTCATCATCAACATTAGCTCGCTATCATCTGTCTCGCCCTATGTCTTCGGCACTGTCTACAGCTCCACGAAAGGCGCCATCAATTCCTACAGCCGCACCCTACGTCAAGAGCTGCGGCCCTTTGGTGTTCGCGTACTTGTTTCCATGACGGGCACCGTCAGCACGTCCAATCCCAAGGCCCATCGTGAGCTGCCTATTGGCTCACTATACATGCCTATGAAGGATCTCTTTACTGCTCGCCAGCAGTGGTCGCAGCACAACGCCACCATGAACAACGCAACTTTTGCCAAACAACTAGTGTCTGAGGCGCTGCGCGGCGAGGGCTGGTTAGGTGGACTGCTCGGCGGTTCGCGCAAGTGGTTCTGGGCTGGTGGCTTGTCTACTCAGGTCTGGCTGGCTAGGTGGCTTTTCGGCGAGACATTGCTAGACGAAATGGCTTACAGGCGTTTTCACCTCCACGAACTCGAGGCGAAGATCCGCAAAGACGCCGCACAGCGGATCAAGTAGTGTATTCAAATTGAAGTCCAGGGTTCTGTTAAACCATTTTCCTGACGCTCTACCATAACTCGCACGTCGGTCCCTGTTCCGACTGTTTCTTGAATCAGGACCTGATTTGCATGGCACAGCTCCGAAGCGGTTGACGCCACCCATTCAGGTGCAGTGAATCTGGTCCAGAACCTAAACGCGTGTCTGAAGTGCGACGCGAGACACCATAGCGGCCGATATCATCCAGCACATCACATCAGGAGTCGAGCCGACAAAAATGCAAGAGATGTCATTGCGAGCGTTCAACTCTCGATTGCCGACAACGACCAACTCTTGATTTGCTCCTACGAGGATTTCCTGATTGCACTTTCGCTAGCTCCGAGCAGCGTAACGGACCACCTACGAACGAGGAATAAATTCGCGTGCGACAGATGCAGGAGTATCACAGCGTTACTACAGTTCCTAGGCCAAAACTTGCCGGACTTAACAGTTGTACCACAGCCCGACGGTTTGCCTGAAGACATACTGCTCCGGTGCTACGACGGCTGATTGTGCACTTTCTGCTCGTTCCGCACGATAAGCCAGCCGATGATAGCACGGCACAGGCATCAAAAACAACTGATGACTGCGGCGAGAGATCTCCGAGGCCGTGGCTAAACAAAGTCTTCCTGCAAGACTGGGCACGAAACCTGGATCCGCGTAGCGGGCCATCATCCGAGGTGAGAGGTCCTCGAAGCAAGCGGGCGCCCCTGAGCATCATCGTCATCTGAAGCAACTCCTGGCACGGGAGAGGGCCTTCAGGAAAGGCGGAAGCACGACGCCATATGAATTTGAGCACGTGAACAGCCAAGAGGATGACCTCCCTACAGTGAGACGCAGCTCTGGCTGGAGCGAACATGATGGAGGTGCATGGATGGACATGCGGACTGCCGACTCCTCCGCTTTCTGACACTGTGCTCATGCAGGTACAAACATGAGCTCGGGTGCTATCGATGAGAACTGTGCAGAAATGTGGCAGTATCATCAGCCCGGCTGGCATCGAGGTCAATATCGCGATGTTGTGCCAAGCTACGCGTCGTGTAATAGGGCGGTGCGAAGGCCTCGCAAGAACAGCGGGAACGTATTATGCTGGCTTCGCAGTTTACGGCTAGACACCCCCCATCCGAAGCTGTTCAGTCTCGTCGAAAGGAAGGGATCCGAGAGCATTACATTCTAACCTTGAAAAATTCTTCGGCATGGTTTTTCGTGCCTGCCGACTGCCATTCTATGCCCGGCATGATAGGACAGGGATAGAAATTGTCAGGTGGCCCTGCGGAGCCACCAAGCAGGGGGTTGGCCAGGGGGGCTAAGGGCTACGAGAACGTGTATATAAGGACTGCGGAGGGCCAGAATTCAGATGTAATCCGGCCCCCTACCTATACTCTATCGCCTGTGGACCACGGGTGGAAGACCTCTTCACTCTGCTCCATCCAATGCACTGACAGAAATCATATCATCGTCATCTACGCTCGGAACCGTCCTGAGACCTCTCGACACAAACGATTGATCAAGCCAGATTTCTTTCAGCCCTGGTGATGAGCATGAAGTAAAGACCTTTCAATGTCAGTTATGGGAACTCAAAATCTCAAAGCCCAACTAATCATTTTGTAGAACGGATCCTTCGAAAAAATCGATAACGGTGCTTCATTTCTTGGTATGTAGCGTGCCTCGCTTTGAGATGTGTCTACCTCTCTACCGCACCAGAGAGGAGACACCATCCTTTTCTGGAAGAAGATGATGCCGTGATCGCACACTCCGAGGCTCTATGGGCAAGCTAATCCGTATTCAGCAGGTGAAGGGGCCTAGGTGTCAGACGATGTCCGTCCATTACCCAGCTTCTATCTAGCCAGCTTCTATAAGAGAAGCCGGCAAGATGGCTATCACCCGATCCAAATTTGAATGTCAAACAAAAGGTACGGGTAAAATGTGAAGTTCTCTGACTCTTTTGACGAGATCCATCCTGATGGAATTGAGACACAGTCCATTCATCTCCTAATCCATGTCACCTCCAGGCTAGGCACTCAAAGTCCGTTTCCTCGCAGTAAATACGTAGTCGAACATAGAGCGGCTACATACACTGAACTTCTGGCTCTGTCTTTCTGATTCTGTAAGTTCTTCGTCCAAATTGACTTATCCACTATATTATTCAAGCTACGAATTGCTGGGAAACTAGCGATATTCATATTTTGTTCCTCGGACTTGGTAGCAGAGTTGAGAACCATCGAGTTGTGTGTATAAACTATAGATTTAAGGAGAAGAAGTTTGCATGAGATGAGTTACCCTACATTCATCCTTCTCAGAATGAGATGATCACACCAGACCGAGATGGATCAGGTCCGGTTTCGCCAGGCCATGCTTGCATTGCTCGAAGATAATCCCAATACAAGGCACTGTATACATCCCATCGACACTGCAATTGATGTTTCTAGCCCTGTTCTGCCAAAAATTCGAACTCTAACGACTCGTCGGGTCAAATGAGCCATGATTTAACACTACATCAAGGGTTTCCACCCTCCGCCTTCCTCCATCCCATCTCGGAGGTGCTGAAGGGAGTGTCTCTAGCACATTCTGCCCCCAGAGACCGAAGTCAACGAATCTGGGAAAAAAGGACTGGGGCTCATAGTTAGCTTCCACGCTGTCCAAATTGAAGGCATGGCGAAAGAAGAGACTATCTACATGAATTGACCGGCAAGTTGGCTCGTTAGCGAAGTCAATGATGATATGGTGCCGTTTTTTTTTTGAATCAACTGCATGATGCTGTAAGAGGCTGGTCGTCAAGCGTTTCGCTAGGACGAGGCCTTGAACGTGTTATTACTAGATTTAGACAATCTGATCAAGGGTATGTGTGCCCCTTTATGGAGAACGAAATGGTGTTGAGCACAAGTCTCCCTACGAACTCGCTGCTAAGGCGCAGCGTCAGGTTTGTGGCTTGGCCGGGTTTGATCCGTGAAAAACAGCATGCAAACGTTGAGCTGGATGATCGCGCCAAGCGAACGGTGATCGCTCTCGGAGATCATTTTGCCAAGGCTAAGCTTGCAAAGCTGAAGTGGCCTGGCGGTTTCCATTCTGGCTACTGAATGATGCGGCTTGGGGAGAGCATTAGCGTCTTCATCGCCGAGTGCAGCTTTTGCCTGGGGGAGCACAAATTCCAGACCGAGAAGACGGAGTATACTTACTGGCACAATGTCTAGGCTGCGGTACGCAAATGGCCCAAAATCACATTTGTCTTAACGCAACTCAGCATACGGTATAGTAAAGCGATGAGTATGTGTTGGCCTTTGGGCGGGCCTGTAGCATCCGCCTAAGAATGTTTTCGTCTGGAGATGGGAATCGACGAGGGGGTCTCTGCGAGCATATAAAGCTGGAGCATTGTTTCAAGTGCGTGGAATAGTCCAAAGAATGAGTCTTTTTTGCCATTATTAAGAGCTGTCTTTCGAGGCCATGACATTTAGTATTGCCAGCCCTCGCGTCATTGAGAAACATCTCAGGTGTTAGAAAAATGGATGGTTTCTTGATATCAATCAGTATTTTCTAGCTTAGTTTCTGGTCTTAGAAAGGTATTCAGGAATATAATACGTTTAGAAAACAAAGAAAATAGGTGAAGAGAATGTCCTCTTACAAAAGTTTTCTTACACAAAGCCGGACTACACAACAGTGAACTCTTAAGGATGATGTTGTCGCTTCCCCATCATCATTGATCGCGAAACGAAACCAATCAGCCACAGCCTCAGCCAGGATAGCCGCGGCGGATGGGCTGGTACACGTTGGACAGGTTGGTGGCAGCGCGACGTCCAGCTGTCACAACGACAGGCACCTACTTCTTCAACGGCAGGACCTCGATTTTGGGCGTCTTGAATACATCCCAATTGTCCGCCGATTTGGGATTGCCAAACGGCCGCAGAGCAGCTACCCGCATCTGATACCACCCCGGCGCGATCTGCGTCCCGTTACCCAGGGCGCCATACCACATAAACTCGAGCGCCGGCGTGTTCCAATCCGTCCGGGGGACATTAACAAGAGGAAACTTGACAGGCGTCCAGAAATCATCAAACTGGGGATCAGGAATATAAGTGGCGTCTGAATATGACCATGCCGATACGGACCCGACGAAGCCTGCTTGGCCCTCTTGTGGCGGATACACCCACCGCCGCTCATGCCATGACAGGTCAAAAATGTCCCAGCGCATCTCGCGCGTGGCAAAAAAATTTGACACCGTCATATGCGGGAAATCTGGGCTAGCGGCGTCCTGGTTGAAGGTGAATTTGGCCTTCGTTTCGATGCTGACGTTGGCGGCGCCCGAAACGATGAGCGGCACGCCGGCGGTGCGTTCGAGCATGTCGCCCACGTCGCGCTTCAGGTTTGCTGCAAGGCCGAGATACGGCACGCCCAGCACGTCGCCGTTGCTGCCCTTGATGACAATCCGGCCGCTGTACACAGGCAGCGATGCGGGCGCGGCTACGGCACTGTCTGCCGGCGGTCCAAAATTGATCTTTGCTGTGCGTGTCTGTCCAGGCTTGACAGTGAAGCCGGTGCTGGGGAACGTGACCTGAGGGCTTAGCTTCAGTGGGCTCGTTATCAGCTCTTCGATACCTGCTACATGCACCGGCGACGTCGTGCTGACGGTGGCCAGACCACCGTAGTCCTGTAGTGAAAAGGTGTATGTGACGGGCCTCGTTCCCTTATTAGTAATTTCGACCCTCTGGTAGCGGCTGAAGTGGTGCGTGTTGTTAAGTGCGAATTTGGAAAACGATAGGCTCGTATCCTGGCCTAGTACCTTGGAGGCGTTAACAAGGCCGGTGCCTACCTGCGCGACAGACGCGAAGGTTTCTTGGTGGACGCCACTGAAGGAGCCGCCATCCCACGCGATCGGCTCGCCTGAAGAAATGATACGCATCGCGAGACTCTTAGCCCAGCCTACGTCGTGGCTGGCGCGGCCACCAAACTGTCCAACATAGAGGGCCGCCACGCCGGCAATATACGGCGCCGCCATGGATGTACCGCTCAAGATGGCATAGCCGTCGCCGAGATACGTCGACAGTATCAGGCTCCCTGGAGCTGAAATGTCTGACTTTACAGCCAGGTCATTGTCTGGCCCGAAGCTTGTATAGAGGCTTGTGAGGCCTTGGTGGTCTTTGTTGGGTGCTGCTGTAGTGTGCACGTCAGGACGGTAGTCAAAGTCAAAGGTGACGTTGCCGCCAGGCTTCAGAACGTCAATAATGGCTTTGCCGTCTTCAGCAGGTATCATAGCGATATTGGGGTCCGAATAGTCTGTCCAAGGCGGAATTAGGGGCTTTTCATTGTTATAGACAATGACGTGTGTTGCGTTGAAGTCCTTGAGATTGGCTTGCTTGACAGAAAAGTCACAGGTGCCGCGTCGGACAAGTACAACTACCTTTGACAAGTCTGGTGTATCTGCAGGCAAGGGCGCGCACGCTTCGTCGTCGAGTGCGTCTAGGGAGACTGGCCAAACAGGCCAGCCCTTCACCGATGCGGGATACCAATCAAACAGGGACGTGTACGGGATCCATCTATCCTCAGGCTTGCCCCCTGGCAGCGTTAAGGTTGACTTGAACATGAATAGGGCGATAACATCAGGCTCGACAGAGGCGACCGACACGACATTGGCGCCGGCAGCGCCGGTTGAGGTAGCAAAAGCTCCAAACAAGCCATCGTTGCCGGCTGAATTGATGACCAGGACGCCTTGCTCAACCATCCGGCTGGCCACGAGACTCTTGGCACTGTCACACCAGCCATTCTGAGAGCCCAGGGACATGGTGATAATATCAACACCATCATCGTATGCTCTCAGCATGGCTTCGATGATAGTGTCGTCGTTAGTAAAATCGATACTTGTGAAGACTTTATATGCGTAGAGCGAGGCGTCAACACCTGTGAAGACTTCGCTCTGGCCAGCAATGATACCTGCGACATGTGTGCCATGGCCAAACTGATCATCCGGGTCCTCACTGGGAACTTTGAGCACGCCTGCTTTCGGCCACAAAGTCTGGCCTACGAAATCATAGCCACCAGCGACTTTGAAACCTTTGCCAATACCTCCGCCGAGCTGTATCACCCTGTTAGTAGGTCCTTCACAATAGAACTTCGGCCCAAACCACTCACTGCCTTATGTCTGTAGTTGATTCCTGTATCAATTATGATAATCTTTGCGCCCTTGCCCTTAATGTTTGCTCGGTGGAGCTTGTCGACGCCTGTCATGTGATGGTTGGAGTAGTTGCTAAGCTGAGGCTCACCGCCCAAATGCTGGGCCTGGGGCTTGCCAAACGTCACTTTACGAGCCTGCCATGCTTTCGCAACGACGGCCCTATCTTGAATCAAGTCGATTGTAGTTTTCGGTGCGTTGATGGTACAGCCTTGGAAAATACCATGGTCAAACACCTTAACGATATCGACGCCATTTTCTTTGCTAAGGGCATCGACTACGGCCGAAACATCAGTATTCTGAAGCGTCGTTAATAAGTACATTATGCTATCAGATACCATTGCACTTACCGCGACGAACTCGATAATGAAGTGGCCGTCGCCGAGAACACCATCCCCATCCTGCTTGGGCTGGGGCTCGGGCATGTCGTTTCTGCGGTACCTCCGTGAATGAGATCGAGGGGTCCTCTCTGCCTGAGCTGTACTCATGATGGCCCATAAGCCTAGGACTGCCACAAAAAGCCTCATCTTCGTATCTTTGGTGTTTTTCTGCTCGAAATCTCGAACGTTACAGGTCCAAAGACCTTTCGTGAGTATCGTTTCCAGCGCTCAGCTCTCAATGCCGGTGCTCGACTTGCTTTTTAATGTATTCGTAAGAATGTTTCCGGATTCCTTGACCTTGTTGCGTAAGTTTTCTAAGTTTTGTGATTGGGTGTCATCGTGGGATAGCTTGGAAAGGCTCGCATGCTTGCAGCCTGGTCTCAGGGGTATCTCAGCTCTCGTCGAGATCCTTACACTATAGTCTCCTTACGCAATGTGTCAGGTAATGATCCTAGAGGCCCTTCTTGATTGCGACCTTGTAGACGTTGATAGGGTGTGTTGAAGGCGGGTGGATGAGCGCTCAGAATTGAGAATCGAATGCTGCTGCCCGTCGGGTGTCCTAACCAGCCACGAACGACCGCCCCAAGGCTTCTACGTTCACGAGTTGGTCACATGGCAGAGCAAGCGTTCACCTCTGTGGCATTATGGCCACTTGGAAAGTAGCATCTCGCGAGTGTTGCGAAGCTGCTGTGTTGTTTTCCGCGTGTCTGTAAATTACATTTCTGGAGACTACAGCATCTTGGAGCGACACAGACCAATCGCCGTAAAATGGTACCTGGGTCTGTCATGGTATCACCGTTCTCCAGTAAATTGGACTCATGAAGGTTCAAAGAAACTGGGCCATGGCGAATCACCAAAGGTCAATTCTTTGCACCAAGTCAGTGCTGGACGGAAAACCTTGTACCGTTCAGGGGCCGAGCAGGCGGCTCTCGAATACCACCACGGCCCCTGAATCCGCCACTGAGTTCATATAACCTCTCTATTAGCCAGGATTGGAAATCATTTGAGCCGCTTCCCTCCGTCGGTGAATTACTGGACAGCTATCTATCCACTTTACGTCTCCAGGATATATCCCCCTTAACCCCTTACCCCACCTCCTCAGGTTATAGTCTCACAAGTCGCCTTTGAAACAAGAACATCATGACCTTCTGATATCACGTTTGACAGTGTACGATTAAGATTCTTCATTACTTAGATATCTATCATTTCATTCTATTCTTCGGGGGGTCCACACTGCCCCGCCGCGACCTCCAGCGTGCCGAGGCACGAATGAACTGATATTAGGCCGGTGTTTCACAAATCACCACAGACTACCTAGATTGCCAGGTTGGAGTGTAAATTGCGACATTGCTGGCCGGTTCTTATCTTACTCATGGTCACACTTGTGGCCTAGACAGCATGAGATGCACTTCCCAACGTCACCATGGTTGCATGCGCTTTTTATTAAGGGGCAGGAGCAAGGCTCTTACCCCATGCTTAAGAAGCCATACAATATATTGAGAACTATTCAAGTGACAGTATTCTTCCGCTTTACCGTGATAGCGATGCGCCTATTTAACAGGCAAGCAGGCATTGTTGAGGGTGTAGGAACTGTAGTACTGCAATCTATGCTGTCCTCGATCGCAGCCAGTCTGAGGCGTGATTTTACGCCTTGATGGCCTATCGGCATCCAGGTATGTGAGAGATTTGAAGCGTTGAGGCCAGAGAGCGAGTAGAAGAACTATCGGGATATTCACGCCGCCTTCCACATGCAATTATGGATGCCACACCAGCCTCAGACCGCCCATAGTACTGTCGAAAGGTTTGTTATCAGTTTTTCTTCTTCGAGACTTTGACACCCAGAGGCGTCCCTTAACAAGAACACTTTGGGGATTGCGTAGCTACTAAGAAATTTGACATGGAAGTAGTTGGTTAAGAGCCACCGCACGTCGCGTCTGGAACACCGCGAGGGATGTATGACATCAAGCAACTATAGCAAGTCGAATTCCACGGCACCACCGACACTTCCGTAGCACATACTATTCTCATAAATCCAGAACGCCACGGTCAAGAAAGAGAATAAACTCATCGATGAACACCCTGATAGCTCTGTCGCGCCCTTATCGTGAATACTGACCGGTGCGAAGAAAGACTGAGTTAACGCTATGAGTGCCGTAATATTTGCCATAACCTTAAAGTAGTAAGCCGTCAGGGATCCTTGTTTGTAGATAAGGTAGTCTAAGCGTAGCGACGTAGCATTTGAGGCTAAGGTTTACCACGGTGGAGCCCGCTCGTAGCTCGAACTTGCGGTTGCCGTCGGAGCTATCAGCGTAGATGCTAGTGATGAAGACGACTAGAGGCGCGAAGGAGGTTAACAGAGCGGTCTCCAGGCGTGCTGCTGCACTTTTTCCCTGGCCTATGACTTGAGGCTGATCGGAAAGTAGGTGCGTGCAGCTGCAGCCGACGGCGGCTCCAGTCAAGCCGGCGTTGGCGCCCGGGTTTTATAGGCGGGTACGCAATGGGCCACGCCCCGATGGTGAATATGGTCACGATGCCGCTGAAAAGGTTCGCATGGTGGAATACTACCATCGTGCGTCTGGGAGCAATACGACGGGCTGCTTTCTCCTGGTTGTAAAACAGTGTTCTGAAAGAAGAACACAAGGGCCACTAAATAACCACCGGAGGGTTTACAGATAAACAACAGGGCCAAAGCCGCCAATGACAACGCGATCATTCCTCTGGCTATCTAAGTTTGATTAGGAAAGGTTTAAAAACTTAAGAGTGCATTCTGGATTTTGGAGATGGGGCGTGGAAATCGTTATGTGGATGCCGAAACGTACTGCATTCTGCTCCTGTCCTTGAGGTTTCGACAAGTTAAGATGTCTGAGCGTAGATTGAGCAGAGCGAAGAGGCCCTCCCCACGTGGTCCGCAGGCAATAGATATTAGATATGGGTGGGACTTATTGAGAGGCCTGCAAATGCTCGGAAACCCCCGTGGTTTTGACATGCTGACTTACTTGGTCTATGAATAGTCTGGTTCACGTTGTTTTAGCTTACTTGATTTCTTTCTCTGTCTCGTATAATAAGGTTCACTAAAATTAAACCTATTATGATAGAATCATATCCCAACACTTCTCAGAAACTATAAGACGGATGATCCGCTCGTTACGTAGATCTGGCCCTTCGTCCAGCATCATACTCACAGATCCATAATCTCAATTCCTCGACAGACCTTACTCAAACGCGTCGCTATGTCATCTCGCAACCTTCTTCGGAATCTCTTTGCACTTCTCCTTATTTTGAGTGTCGGAGCATCCCCACTGCCACAGACCACCCCCGAACCCCCTGAAACTTCAATTGAATCAGAGCTCAAGTTTTGTTTTCCCTACTGCCACCTCTTCGATCTTCCCGGCAGTTCCTGGTCATCGCATACGTTCCGGCCTCCTGCTGTTCCTACTGTTCCCGCTCCTCGACCTCTTTACCTGGATACACCGGACAGGAGAGTCACATTGCGGGCGGATACGGCGCGCGACGGGGCTGTTACAATTGAGGTCTCCGTGGGAACTCACTATACGCTTCCTGCCCATGCTGACCTTCGTGTACGTCTCCGGGTACGTAGAACTAACTACGAATTCAATCATGAAACTCTCTCTGTTGGCAGCGAGACTGCAGTCGTACGTTTCAGCGCTGCACAGGCTGCATCGTTTAGAAGCGGTGAGAGCAGCCAGGACGGCTCGTTCGATATAAAGATCTAATGGCAACTGCAACAGGATATATAATATGTTCTACTTCAAGATTCTTGCCGCCACCCTGGGAGCTCTCCTCACTATAAGACGAGGTAGGGCGCTGAACGAGGGCCTGTGTTACTGTCAGGGCTGCAGCCCGACCAAATCTATCCACCAAATACAAGCAAATATCAAATAAATCAGGTCCCTAGAGGCATTCAAACAAGTAATTATATAGGGCATATTTGGTGGGCTGTTTGGTGGTTTTCAAATATGCCAGGAAGCCCGGAATAATAGTAAATCCGGCCCCAGGGCCCACAGAATATTGGCTTCAGCCAATAAAAAAACAGCCCAGTTACAGACTCCACCGAGCCTGTATCTGGGCTTACAGCGCCAGCGGGATTCGAACCCACAACCTCCGGAGTATATCCGGCGCCAATACCACCTGACTATGGAGCTATTTGTTAATGGGGTCCACTATATCTTTGAATATAGAGTGCTGATTGGCCAGAAAATCAATCCACTAGAATATCCATCTCCTGCAGGCATATCCAAACCCTGAATCCCACCCCAATAACGCAGATTCAATCGCCCGCCTCAGCGCCACGACCTACGCTCTTTGCTACGATATTGGAATTGCCCAGTTAATTATGGCCTTGTCCCTTCTTCGCATCCGTCGCCCTCTCTCGATAGAGGCTCATCTCAGTCAACTTCAATCAACAACCGATACCGAGACCGGGTTCATTTCCACAACCTTCCTAGGGCGGCGCTTCACTCTTGACTCCCTGGTAGCAAAGAAGGGATCGAGAGGGCGCTCGAGCTGGGTCAAGGATCATGGGATCTTCGTCAGAGAGCTCCTCTCTGGCGATACTCTTGGTATGGTCGCTACCCTTACGCGTGCGATATCCTAACAGATAATAGGCGAAGCCTTCTGGATCTGCCGCCGTTGTGACGAGAAGAGAAACAACGACCTGCAGCTATTCAAAGCCACTGCGACGACGTCTGCTACGATACACCTCCGAAGAGCTCATAAGATATTCGAGGATTCAAGGGATGGGGAGTCGTCAACCGAAACAGGATCGTCAGAAGCCTCACACTACCCGAACAAACGATTCCAATCAATAGCAATTCACCAGAACGAAGTTCGACGGATTGAGGAGCTTGCCCTTGGCTTTATCGTCAGTTCAAACGTTCCCTTCGACGTCTTCAATAATACATATCTCCGTCGCCTCATCTCCCATATAAACCCTTCGATTTACCAGTCAGTTTCGTGGAGTCGCGACTCCCTCCGTAAACGTCTTACCTCTATCTTCAATACGAAGAAGACGGAGGTCCAAGAAGAGCTCTATAGAGCTAAATCGAGTATTCATATAGCATACGATATGTGGACGTCTCCGAATCGCCTCGCTATCCTCGCAATATCTGCCCACTTCCTCGATAATAATATGAAGCAGCAGCAACGGCTTCTTGCCCTTCGAGAGCAATTCGGAGCTCATACGGGCGAGAATACTGCTAATACGATAGCAGAGGTTATCTCAAGCTGGAATATCTCTAGCCTCGTTGGTGTTTTGATATCCGATAACGCTACAAATAACGATACCTGTACCTACGCCTTTCTTCACCAAATCAGGCCATCGATGACGCGTGAAGATATCGCTGATAGGCGACTACGCTGCTATGGCCATATACTGAATCTTGTAGGGCGTGCCTTTCTTTATGGAGAGGATAGTGAGTCTTTTGAACAGGAGTCACAGACTCTTGAACTTACTAGTCAGTCCCACGACTCTCTTCGTCACTGGCGGAAGAAGGGGCCTATTGGAAAGCTTCACAATATCGTCAGATGGGTTCGATCCTCGCCCCAGCGCAGCGAATACTTCCGGTCAACGGTTTCGGAGGTTCACGACCCTGAGGGGGGCATCTCCCTTCACAAGGAATCCGCCTTCGAGCTTCAGCTTATTCTGAATAATGAGACGCGTTGGAACTCCACGTATCTGATGATTGAACGTGCCCTTCGCAAAAGAGGGGAGATCCAATCATTCCTAGCACAGAACCAAGCCGAGGTCGACCCAAGTCGCCGTCTCCCGCAAGAGGACTATCTCCACGACGAAGATTGGCGTCTCTTGGTTGAACTACAGGATCTTCTACAACCTCTCTATCGCCAGACAATGCGTACCCAGGGCTGGAGTATTAATGGGAGTCATGGTACCTTATGGGTGGTCCTTACCGGTATCGAGTACCTATTGGAGAAGATGGAGGACTGGAAGAGTCTCTTCGACGAACCCTTGGATAACGTTATATCACAGAATCAGACGCAACCCTCACAAGCGCCACGGCGAAGTAGGAGGGATATCAGGCCACGCCTATCCCAGCCACTTATCCAGTTTCTCCCAGAGCACTCTCAAAGCGAATATTCCAATACCCTACCGAACCGAACAAGTCTCAACGATCTCTCCTCCGACTCACGGCAGTACTTCCGCTTCTCTGTCATGAACAGGTGGAAGAAGCTCAATACATACTATACACGCCTCGGAGAGTCACCACTATATGCCGCAGCAGTTATCCTCCACCCTGGACTTGGAATGAGGTGGTTGGAGTCTCAATGGAGTAGCGCAGAGCAACTGATTTGGCTTCGAGACGCAAAGGATGGGCTCTTGCAATACTGGGATCAGTGGTATCGTGAGAGTCGCCCTGCCTCCGTTCACGCCTCCTCTGGGCAGCTTATCCACGGCTTCCAACAGTTCCAAGAAGGTCCTCCCTCAGAGCCAGGTCACTTCGACGATTGGGTCTATAGTCGACGCAATCAGCTAGAAACCAACGAAACAGAAGTCGACCTTTATCTTCAATACAACCCAGCACAACCACAAGGCGTCAAGGATCCCATTAATTGGTGGATATCGCAAGAGTCTACGTTCCCTACACTCAGCAAGCTTGCGTTCGATATCTTAGCTATCCCTGCGATGTCAGCAGACTGTGAGAGGGCGTTCAGTCTTGCAAAGCTGACTCTCACGTCGCAACGACTCACGATGGCTTCAGAGACGCTGGATCATATTCAGTGCCTCAAAAACTGGCTTCAGAGGGGCGCAATTTCGTTAGGGGGGTTGGACTGAGCGTCTCTAGAGACATCCAGGGCTTCAACACCATGGAACTATGGAATCAGTAAGCTTTGTTGCTTCTGAATAGCCTCACTAACGGATCAAATCAGTCAAATACTTGCAAATCAAATCAAACAATCAAATTCGACCCATCGCGATAATCAAATCCCACCGAAATAGCCTCTGATTTGACTTATTTGGTCGGGCTGCAGCGCTGGTTACTGTAACAACCAGGGACGCGACACGGCCAGCACACGATGACTCTGCGAGACGGGACGCGATAAGATAAGGAATGGACCCCACCAGATGCGGTCACGTGATGAATCACGACCGTACGATTAGTGAGTTGGGGACTGGCTCACACATAACACACCGTGATCCTAACATTATGGATCACCAACTAACGGTAAGCCATTCAGCATGGGTTCACCACCTAAAACAACAAGGACAGGATGACGATTATACGGACGGACAGTATGTCCTGTCAGATAAGTTCTTTCTCTCGACAGTGATCAATCTAAGTCTTACCTTGTATCCATTACAACAAGTGCGCAGCGCCTTGCGACACCACATTGCCTCAGTCACAACCTAAGCTTCCGCTAACAGCGAACCCTAGCCCTCGGACAGTGTTCCGTCCTTAGAAGCTGCCAAGTCGTGACAGGACCATCATACGCCTATCCAACAGATCGCAGCGCTTGATGCGACTGCGTATGTAGTGACCTATCTCTGCTAGTTATCTCTGCTAGTTCTTTACATTGAACTAGTATCAACTCGTACTAGATTCTCCAGATAGTATCTATCTTACCCTCTATATTCCTATTCGCCTTCAAAATACTATTATAGCGGTAGCCTAGACACAGATCGGCCTATTCTTGGCGACTGTTAACCGTATAGCAAAGCTATCCGTCGCCTTTATTATAGCCGCCTCATCCACGAATATAGTATTCGGCCAGATGTGTCGCCGTTCTCCCCCGAAATAGCTCCACATCGCCAGGGTCGTCGTCTTTGAAGCGCGTAGCGCCTTGTAATATAGGGCTACTTGGCACAGAACGAGCCTGATCGTAGGGCGTGCTGTTTGCGACTCCGCGGCATCGACATATACGTCGGCGTCTTGGCCCTCCCGACCATGGTCACGTCCGTCAAGGAGAGGCCGGCCTATACCGGGAGTATCGGCATGATGTGGGGTCTCGAGACCATATTGGGGCTTGTGGTCGGTGGTGCTTTGTCCGACTCTGCCAGCTGAAGGGTTGAAACCCTATTGTTGCGTCTTGCTTGCTGGGTCTAGGTCGCTGAAGTTACAGCAGATGGGCGTTCTATGTCAATCTCCCTTTCGGCGCACTCATCCTGCCAGCCACCTTCATGCTTCTTTCCCCGGCAGACCTGAATGAAGGAACGTGCTTCCGGTCGCATATGGCTGGCATAGACTTCATTGGCGGCTTCCTACGCCTCTGGGCCACCAGTACCCTGGTCATGGCCATCCGGCCGGCGGCCCCGTCTTTGCCTGAGCGTCGGCTGCCGAAATTAGCCTGTTTAGCGTGTCCGGTCGCTGGCCCGCTCGAAGTCGGGCACTTTCCGTTTGGCATTTCGTGCGCTATGAGCTCCTGTCAATGATTGCGCCTGACGCGGTCGCATTGGGAGTGTCCTGCCTGGTGTCCTGCCTGATGACGATCCGGTTGGGCCGCTATACCCCCTGATGCTCCGTTAGCAATAAACTCAAAGACTTTCTACTCGCAGCCCGAAGGTTCCGTGCCGTCGCATACAACAGACTCGTTCACATGCGCTTAATTGGTTTGACCCATCGCCTCCGCGCTTAGATCTTCCCATTACCACCCCCATTTGCTTTCTTCAAGCGACACTCTGCGTGCGTCACCCCCAAGTTCGCCATATCCATCTCTCCCTGCTATAACAACATGTTCTCGCAATCGCCCATCATGACTACCGCTCTTGATCAGAAGATCCCCGCCTTTGAGAACACCTTATTCGACGATATTATTCGCGTGACCGATACCCTGCGCGCTACCTTCTGTTCCTACAAGACTAAGGATATATAATAGCGACTTACCTAGCTACGTAAGTTCTACTAGGCCTTCGAGGACTATACCCCGGCCCTTATTAACGCTCTAAGGCAGGACCTACGTAAGTCTAAATACGAAGCTCTCTTATCCGAGATTAACTAGATTAAAGACGATTGCCTCTATCTTATTAAAATCCTTAAGCGCTTTACTAAGGATGAGCCCGTTCGCGATGTATGTATAACGTTCATTAAAATGAAGCCTCGCGTCCGTAAGGAGCCTCTTAGTATAGTCCTTATTATTAGTGCCTATAACTTTCCTGCCTAGCTCTCTATTGTTCCCCTGTTGGGCGCTGTCGCTATTAGTTATACCGCTGTTCTTAAGCCTTCTAAAGGCGCCCCTGCTACTGCTATAGTTCTTAAGATAATTATCGAAGCCTCCCTCGACCCTTCTGCTTATACTATCGTTAACGGCGCTGTTAATGAGATTACTGCTCTACTTAAAGTTAAGTGGGATTAGATTATATATATTAGCGGCTCTGTTATCGGTAAGATTATATCTAAAAAGGCCGCTGAGACCCTGACCCCGGTGTATCTCGAGCTTGGAGGTCTTAATCCTGCCTTTGTTACCCGTAATGCTGATATTAAGCTCGCTGCCCGTCGCCTCGGCTAGGGTAAGACGCTTAATGCTAGCTAGGTCTGCCTCTCCTAGAACTACGTTCTCGCTGACCGTGCTATTATTCCGGAACTTATCGCTGCCTTTAAGTTAGTATTCGAGTCTTTCTTCCCTAGTAGTGTTAAGAATAGCCCTAACCTGTCTCGTATCGTTAATGCCCGTTACTTTACTCGTATAAAGAAGATGCTTGATGAAATAGAGGGCGAGATTATAGTTAGTGGCGTTATAGATAAGGCGTAACTGTTTATTAAACCTATTATCGTGCTCGCTAGCTCGCCTTACGATTCTATTGTCCGCGAGGAGTCGTTCGGCCCTATCTTCGCTATCCTGCCCTACGATAGCCTCGACGCTGCGATTAAGTTAGTTAACGACATGTACTATACCCCGCTCGCCCTCTTTGCCTTTAGTAACGAGGAGGAGGCTAAGAAGAGTACGTCGTCCTTGAACGGTGCCCCTTACTAGCGTAAGCGACCTAGACTAACTTAGCTATAGTTCTGGATAGGACGATGTCCGGTAGCGCTACTATTAACGACGTCTTATCCTATACCTCGAGTCTGATAGTCCCCTTTGGAGGAGTCGGCTAGTCGGGTGTTACGACCTGGCAGCTTCCGGAGGGGGAACGCTGTCAGAGGGTTAGGGTTGCTGTTTGCAGAAGCTTAGGTTGTGACTCTGAGACGATGTGGTGTCGTAAGGCGTTGCGCACTCGTTACAATGAATACAAGGTAAGACTTAGATTGATCACTGTCGTGAGAAAGAATGTATCTACAAGTCCAGAATGTCCGTCCTTATATACCTGCCATCCTGTCCTTGTTGTGTTAGGTGGTGAGCTCATGTTGGATGGCTCACTGTTATGTCGTGATCCTGTTATGTTGGATCACGGGTCACGGTGATCCAAGCATAACAGTGATCCTTGGTCCTGGATCACTATTCCTGGTGATCCTGTCACGTGACCTATCTTTGGCGAGCCTTATCTTATCAGTGACCCTGGATCTTCTGACGTGGGGCTTGTCTGCGGCCGGTTGTTCGACCCGTGCTCGTTACATCGGGATACGGCAGCTACCGTGGCTGCGCGTCCTTTAATCTCTTTACGCACTATCGTAGCGTCGCTTAAGTGCTTTCGTGGCTCGATAAGTTCCTCCGCGTCCGCTATATGCCCTACTCACCCAAGGAACTCGCGCGGCTGTAGTCGATGACCGCTAATAAGCCCGACTTTGACCGTAGCGGTAACTAGATCCGCGGACTCGGCTACTGGTTTAGTTTCCTCACTGGGTTCGGCGCTAAGACGGTGAAAGGTGCGTTGCTATAGTGGATCGTGGCGCTGGTGGCGGGCTGGTTGGCTAAGAGACGGGGATTGATCTAGGTGTCCTACCTGACCAATACCCCAAGCAAGGTGTTACACCATTATACACAGATTCACAGCCTGTGCGCTACCTATCCGAGCGTCCTCTTGTCGATTATCTGTTGGCCAGGGCCTGTCTCTGATACTCGAGTTCGTGGCCCGTGCCACGACAGCGTTACTTCTTCGCACGACGCGTACCTCCACACAGGTCAGTCCGGCTCATGGTCTAGAGCCTAGTATATATAGTCGCTTGCTGTAGTCTTTCCAAGCCTCCCAAGCCCATAAGGGGCTTCTTGCCGTTCTTACTATCTCGTCTTCAGTCTTTCCACGGGTTTCTTGTGGGGCTTAGATTGTATTGGCAAGCTGCTAGACGGCTATTCTTTTAGTGTTCAGAGTGCTTCCTACGACGGCTAAAGCGGTGCCTGCTGTTGTTGATACGAGGTGTTGGTGCTAGGTTCGGTTAATAGGGAAAGAGTGGGCGTTGTTTGGCGTATTGGGCCCTTATTAGGGATTACGAATTCCCAATCGGTTAGTGGCCTTTTCGCAAAGCGTATTCTAGCTCGCGCAGCTTTTATGTTTGACTTCTAGTCATTACTATCCGATGTCGTCTTTCCTCCTCAGTGAAAGGAGACGTTATCTCTTTGTACGTCATAGGTTTGTTGTGTTGCTCATCGTGTGCATCGGAGGAGGAAGTGTCCCGCCGTCTCTCTCGCGCGTCTGCATGCGCATTGGCCCGAAGGAACTGCTCTGATTTGGAAATAAGAAGCATTCAGTCTCGCCATGCCTACTGCCAAGGCCCTCAAGCAACTATGGGACAACTATGGGACACTAGCAATTTAGCAAAGGGTTAGGCGGCAAAAGGGAGGACTGAGCATGCAAGGAACTACCGTACTTATAGGGAGCGTTACCGTTCTATGATGAGGAGAGGAGATTATCGATTATTCTACTTGGCTAGAGACCCTAAGAGGCTGATATTTGCTGTCCTTCACTTGTCGCAAGAAATCTTGAACACCTGCCCTCAACTAGGAGAGCAAGCTTGCGTCTATCTAAGAAATATTAGTGTATAATTCTCAAGTATACCTCTCCAGTAGTACTGCACCGATTTCCATCGATAATTGCCTGATGTTGTTTGGCAGTCGTCTCTCTTACGCGTGATTTGCGCCTTATATCATTAAGGGTAGTAGAGTGCATCTTCAGGAACTACTTCTCTGACGAGGTGCCCTCTTAACTGGCATGGCGTTCTTCTCCTTTCACTCTTCTCGGGAAGTCGTTATAAAGATGTGTCAAGGAGTCTTGTGCAACGAGTGAAGGGATCAACTGTCGGTCTCTTGGGGGGTCTCTCTGTAGATAGAATAATCGATGTCCTCCTCTAAATCTTAGTCCGTTGACCTTCCTTATGACTATTTCCTCGCTGCGCTCGGTCCTCTCTTCTTGGTTCCTACGATCAAACACCAGGCGATCCCCTGTTGGTCTCATACCTCCCTCAGGTCCTGACAAGATGAATGAATAGTCAGCCGGCCCGGCTGTGATGGTGCGCCTCTCTCGAAGTCGATTAGTAAAACAGTGAGCGTATTCTTGCCCGGATGGTTTGCGGGGGTACTGAAGTGTCAGTACTGCGGCTTTACTGCTTTTCAGTAACTTTATCCTCTGGCCCCTAGTTGCGGTAGGAATAAATGAGTTCTAATTGGTTCTGATGCCGTAAGTACAACAAGTCGTCTACAGCGCCGCCCCAAGCCACTTAATGACTCCACAACCCCGATCAACTTGTTTCGTACCGAGCTCATTACAGCGATACAAACTGTAGCATCCACATCGAAGCTCGTGGAATTTGCATTGGCATTTCATTTGGTCACGGCCTCTAATCTCTTTGTCTACGGCGAGAGTGTAAATCAATTGATTGTTGCTAATTGATGGAATGGCGGGCGGTGGAAGTGCCTGAACTTTCGTATGGGGTTGGCTAGTCTTTTGAAGCGGGTTGGTCTCAGACAGTGCGTGGAGGTCTGTCTATAGCTTGATGGTCCTTCTCGTAAATCGCTCTAGTGTATGAGCGATGTGAGCCTCCGCTTCTGCTACGCTTGTCGCTACTGTGATGAACTCCCTAATGAAAGCCTGCGCTCCGATCTTCTGGATACGACTGATGGCTGCCGCCGCTCGATCTTTGTACTTGTGCCTCTGGATGTTCGAGGTGCAATGTACTACTGGGGCTACGGTGGTTATGAATAACCGCTGTGCTGCAGCCGGTGTTAATCCTCTTAGTCGCTTTAGCTCTATCGTAGCCTCTAATCCCTTGGTCGCTACTCTCGCAATATGTTCCCTATACTCAAGTCTAATGCCTATGATGACGCCGAAGACTTTAAATTGCTGTTTAAGTTCGATTATCTGCCACTTATTTATGAATAGTTCCGAATCGAATGTTTTGGCCTATCGGGTGGAGTGGATGACTGTAGTCTTGTTCTCCGCTTCGAAAGTCGTATTGCTTCTCCGCTCCGAGTTTAATGCCTTTTCGATGATTGCTTTCATCTCTTCACGATAGTTTTGCGGGATCATATCTGCGACCGAGGCTGTGGAGTTATCGATGAAGGCTATGGCTCCCTCTAAAGTAGTCGATCTTCTATTGTATAAGGTCCTTGTTGAAGAATAGAAAAAGGGTGGCGATGCTTGCGTTAGTCAGCCTGGGGCAGAGTCCGATGCTCTGATGCCTGACCGTCTACCCAGACTGTCGCTATCCGACCTGAACAGAATGCCTTTACCCAACCAGGTAAATCTCCCGGAATGGCCCCTGCTCTCATCCTCTGAATGACCCTCTCTTTGCACACTCCATTGTATGTTCCCTTCACATCGAAGCTTACGAGGCTGACTACCCAACGATCTAGCCATGCTGCGTAGATTTGACCTTACAGCAACACTAACGCTTGTTCGCTGACCTCTATTTACGGGCTTCGAAGTGGTTCATGGGCAATAGCCCGTGTGTCTAGACTGCATGGGAGATCCTCTCCGTAGCAACCGACTCGAGAACCTTGACGAGCGTAGCGAGGAATCAGGTGCGTCTCCAAGCCTAGACGATAGCGTAGTCACCTTGCCAGTTTCTTGAGCGGGATGATTCGAGCATGTCTCCATTGATTGGGGATTACTCCTTCCTCTAGCGATAGACGGAAAATTGCTGGACACTATACTTAACGGCTGGCGAAATGTGTTTCCAGACTGTCGCTCGCAGCCCGTCTTCATACTGTGCTTTCCACGATTCCGTGGCGAAAAGGCGGCGCTTGACTTCCTCTATCGCGATGTCGTGGCACTTTGCTGTATGTTGCGCTGTCGCCTAACTCGAGATACTTAGCGGCCTTCTAAATGTCTCCGTTCTAGACTAGGAAGCTTTACTCATTATTTTTCAGCTGATTCAGTTAGTTATGAAGCTATCACGATAATTACAACGGTTAAGAATTCATTTACAACCCATTGTAACAACCAAGGACGCAGGGCGGTTATGAACTATCGACTCCGCTAGCGGGAGCACGAACCAATCGGATCAGGTGTAGGCTCACCCCAATCACTAAGGGCATAACTGCGAGCCAAGGGTTTGGCTCACATGATAACACACCGTGGTCCTATCATCGCGGATCACCGACAACTAATAAGTGAGCTACGCGACATGGACTCACCATCGAACGCGAGAAGGGCAGTATGGACGGGTATATAATGATGGAGAATCTGGACTTGTAGATACATGTTACGACCTGACAGACTCCGAAGGGAACACTGTCAGAGGGTTAGGGTTGCTCTTAGCAGAAGCTTAGGTTGTGACTCTAAGACAATGTGGTGTCGTAAGGCGTTGCGCACTCGTTACAATGAATACAAGGTAAGACTTAGATTGATCACTGTCGTGAGAAAGAATGTATCTACAAGTCTAGAATGCCTGTCCTTATATACCCGTCATCCTATCCTTGTCGTGTTAGGTGGCTCACTGTTAGGTTGTGATCCGGTCATGTTAGATCACGGTGATCCGTGATCCTAACATGTTGGTGATCCATGGCCCAGGATCACGACGCCTGGTGATCCAGTCACGTGACCGCGCGCCGGTGCGTTCTTATCTTATCGTTGGTCGTGCTGTGTCATCGGGCTGTTGGTTCCCTGGTGCTCGTCCAAGCCCTTGGTTGTTACAGCAGGGTGAGGATTTAGTTGGCATAATTCTATATAAAGTAAGAAACGTCAACTTTTATATAGTCCGAGCATTCCCCTATTAGTGGAGGT